CTTGAATAATTCTATAATTCTTCCATGTATTGCCTTTATCTTTCAAATATTCTTTCATTTCGTAAAGCAGATTATTATGCTCGTCTAGCATTAAGTTATGACTTCGTGATATGTTTTCTCCGTTAAGTTTTTGATCTTTTTATGTAGGTCCCTACTAGCAAATATTTTTTCTCGACTCTCTTGAAAATATCTGTTCATTCCCAACCACAAATAATCTTATAGTATAGATACATAGATGATATTGCTACGACTGATAATCGAGTGGCAGCTGTTGGTTTTTGGAATCACCGTTAAACCAAAAAGTGCCATATTATGACTTTTATATAGATTGTATATTAGGACAGTTGAGAGTCAAAGGAGTTGTCAATTTTTTTTAAATGTCAGTTAGTTAGTTAGTTCAGTATTTTATATATTATTTTTAAATAGTCTGAATTATGATCCACGTATTTCACGAAAATGTTGCAACAGAATTCGCCATGATCAGGTTACCAACGATAATGAAAAATTTAGAAATTAGAAACTAGTAGGTAAACAGACGTCCATCCACACTTAAAAGTAGGCAGTGTGAATAACTAGTTCATCGTAGAATCATTGTCGAGCAAAAACCAGCCGTGATGGGCGCACAGCTGATTTAACTACTACAGTGACCCAGTAGTTATAGCTTCACAACGTCAACAAAATGAAAAAAGTTTTATAATTTTCTGGTCTGATTATTAAAAAAAATTATAAAAAATAAATATATAAAAAAAAATAACCATTATTTTCTGGCGTCATTCACACTCATATAGTCACCCTAGGGTGATATCTGTTTCGGAGATCCGTCGATGCGAGAGGAGTTATACTTTAACAACCGCAACCGAAACAATAGCTCCTATCCATGAAAAGGAATATTAACCATTAGCGCCTACATCACCATATGGATCCAGCTGTAAAGGTATTGTCTAACACAATAAAATTATAATAAAACAGGCTACCAACATTACATTTGCCGCATGTATACTTTATTTAGACTTTTCTGAGACTGCGTTGATGAATACTCATCAGTGTTTTACTATAATTGATGGATTCGACCGTTACCTGATGGAAATTCATTTTATGTAAAAATTAAACACTGAAAACTTTGTTTTCAAATTTCCACAAAAAATTTATTTTAACTTCTTATCACTACAGCTGTTTCGGCTGATTGCCTTTCTCAAATGATCTATTTTTGGCATGCGTTTACACTTTATAGTCTCTAATGAAATAGGTTGAGGAGGGGAGAACTATTTGTCTCAAGTTGGTCACTATTATATCTGTATTTTTTTAATTAATTTGTTGATTTCTATAGACTCTAACAAGGATAGCTTAAGGCCTTTATTTTGAATGTGAAGAATTTTAAATTCATCGTTAAAAGAATGATTGTGTATCTAAAAGGTAAAGTGCGTATGTAGAATCTGTTTTTCTATTATTGAAAGCCCTTTTATGTTCTGCTATTGTTTGTTAAAGTTTCTACCAGTTTGACTATGTAAGTTTTTGGGCAGTAGGCCACATTTAAGTTTGTACACACCACTGTTTAAGTGTCTTTTATTTTGGCTCTTTGTTGTTTTTCATATATTTGCCTAGGTTGTTATTTGTTCAGAAAGCCCTGAAATACTAATTTCAGGGCTTTTTGATGTGTGTTTTTGATTTAACATTTTTATTTATTGTTTGTTCATTGTATCCGTTGTTTACTGCTATTTGCTTAATAAAAAGAGAATTTAATATAAATTACACAGTGGTGTATACAAACTTAATGTGACGACTGCCCAAAAACTTACATCGGTCACTACTGGTAAAAATTTTTATAACGAATGGCAGAACATAAAAGGGCTTTTAATAATAGAAAAACAGATTCTACATAAGTACTTCACCTTCTAGATCACAATCATTATTTTAACGACGAATTTAAAATTCTACACATTTAAATAAAGGCCTTAAGCTATCCTTGTTAAAGTCTATGGAAATCAACAAATTAAAAAAACACAGATATAATTCTGAATGACCAACTTGAGAACAAAGTTCTAACCCTCCTTAAACTATTTCATTAGAGACTATAAAAGTTAAACGCATGCCAAAAATAGATCACTT